AGGGTTTCAAAGGGAACCGTGCGAAGAGTGTAACGGGCGACAGATGCTCCGAGATTGGTTGCTCCCCCAAAAGACTTTCCCGCTGGACCCAAAGGGTCAATGTAACTTGCTTGCCCTCCCATACCCCGGCCTACAGCCTACAAAGTTATCAACCTGCAAGCCAACAAAGTCGCCAGGCCAGAATAATGTTTCGACTCTTTGTTTCTGCTAGACTTGTCTCCTCATCTGCATTTACTCTACCCTGAGTCTTCATCTGCTTTGAACCCTAATGTTGACTCCGACCGTCTAAGGAAAGCGATTCATCTGCCTTCCAGGCCGCTGCCATTCCCGTTCCCACGTGCAAAGCCTCCAATATGGCCAATCGACCAACTGCACCAGAGCCCTTCCCATCCTTCAAAGGCGACGATGATGCCCCCTACGAGCGACCCGCGACCGGCATTGAGCCTACCGGAGATGGTGGCTCAAGTCGACGAGGATCAATCACATCCCGCATGTCCACGACGGCGCGCGATCGGACCGGCTCCCTTTTACAATCGTTCAGAGAAAGCAATCCTCCTCTAGGAATGTGGCAGGCCACAGGCGAAGTGGGCTCCAAGATCCCCACGCTGCCCGAGATCAGGAACGGTGCGTTTGCAAACGAAGGCTGGACGCACGAAGGACAGATGGAACATCGTGGCACAAACCCGCACCAGATTCACAGGCAGCGGATCGCGAGGACTAGTTCTGCTAGTACCCGGACGAGAAAGAGTTCGATATCGGCCGTCGCGGGTGCACCGGCTTCCATCGCAGAAGAGAGACATGAGTTCTTTCCCAAACGAACCCCAACGTTCCAGCAAGAGCCACTGTACGAGGAAGCTACGGGCAGGCAAGGACGCATTGAGGAGATTCAGCCGGTACAGGGGTAAGTACTCCTCTCTAATATGCCCAATCCTCACACCTTATACGACATAGAAACTAATGGTATAGTGTTATGTCTAGTACCGGCGAAAAACGTCGCGACAGAGCTCAAACACTGGAGAAGGATACATCTATGGCCTCGCCACAACGAGAAACAGATGGCCAAGTCGTGCCGATACAAGGCGGGCCCGACGAAACAGGCTCGTACCCCAACGGCTACCGCTTTCCGAGGAAACATACCTGGAAGGAATCGACCATGATCGGTCTACGAGCCTTCTGGAAATTTCTCCTTACTCCCTTCGGTTTTATCATCACGATATACGGTCTCAATGTCGTTGGATGGGGTGCCATGATCTTCTTTGTCCTGCTGAACGCCGCCCCCGCCATGTGCCATCCCAGTTGCAACTCCAATGACAGCGCTCGCAAGAAGTGGATCGAAATCGACTCGCAGGTGTTGACAGGCTTATTCTGTGTCACGGCTTTCGGCCTCTTGCCATGGCGAGCCAGAGACTTATACTATATCTTGCGCTGGCGCATTGGCAAGAACAACAACTACCACCGCCGTCTGGCAGGTATTTACAGAGGCTGGTACCGTCTTCCCGGGTCCGATCAGTTACCCGTGGACATCGGCCCTCCACCAGTATACAACAAAAAGCACCCACAGTCACCAGAGTCGCCTCCGGCATTCACAGACGAGGAGATCGCTGAGCTGGAAGCGAATCCTGCCATACCCTTGCCTGCAACATCCATGCCTGAACCGCCATTGACAGGCCTGCGAGCGCCTCCATCCAAAGGCTGGTACCTTGATTTCGTCGCTTGGATGTACATGTTCAACACGTGGTTTCAAGTCTGCTTGTGTGTTTGGATGTGGCACTGGGGTCGTATCACCCGTCCAAGTTGGGGTACTGGACTGTTCATCACGTTGGGATGTCTGGTGGCGATCTTCGCGGGTGTTCTCGTCTTTGTCCAAGGAAACAAAGTGAAGCGTATTGAAGGTATACCAGTACAGGAATATGATGTTTTGGAATCTATCGATGATTACCATGAGCGAAAGGCCAAAGAGGACGCCAAAGAAGCCAAGAAGACCGCCAAACACGAAAAGCATCATCATTTCCGGCACAATGATACGCACAGAGTCGTCCGTTCCGAAAAGCTCAAGGGTCATCAATGGTTCACTCGGCATTGAGACCGGCTGAGAGTGGCTCTGGTTTGAGGTAGGTATGTTGAATTACCATGGCAAAGATGCGGTTGTGCTTTGGAAGATGGCTCTGAGGCCTTCTGGTAAGAGTTTATTTTTGAGCGATGGTCAGACTGAACTGCTGCCATGAGATTGGATCTGGGGGCTTTTGCGTGCATTGATGAATCATAGAGACTCCCCAAAATGCAGGGCGTTTTGGTCAATTGATGCTCAAGTACTTAATCTTCTAATACTGAGTTTCGTCTCCTCCCAACTCTACGTCTTGTTGTTGCGTCGTGAGGCGTTTTGAGCCCTTATACCACTGGGCTTATATCGGTATTGCGCTCCATGTTGGTCGTGTGTGACACCATCATCCGTCCGGGATCCCATCGCCCCGATGGACCGACAAGAGCATATGCTGATCGGGCCTTGGACTCGTCGGGTGTGTCGACATCGAACCGCAATGTCTGATCAAGCAGACACCGGCAGCCGGTAGCTTTCCCAAATCGCCATTCGCCATCAGCCATTTCCCCGATACAATGACCTACATCTTCTCCGCTGTGTTCCCCAGCAAGGCATATTGGTGAGCGGGTTGGACATGATGGTTTTCTCTTGGCAGTCTCAGTCCCCTTTTTGCGAAACATCTCGCGGTTGCTGCAACGAAACTGAGTTCACTTATTCAACCATTCTGTCGAGGCTTGACCTCTCCCTCCTGCATTATGTAATAGACAATAGTCCCATCTCCTCCCCCGCCCTCTTTGGCTTTCAACCCCAGTAACACGCGCTTCTGGTCATGGTGCTCGTACCGAGCCGGCGTGATATTTGCATTGCCATTGACGTGGTCATTTTGATTTCCGCCCAGATACTGTCTACGACCACCTGCAGCTTGGTCCACGATAAGTGGTTGACGTTCAGGCAGTTGGTCGAATACCGCGCAGAATCGTCCTAGTGTCCATGTCTCGCTGAGTGATAACGGAAGGACGTACTCGCGCTGAACGGGGATGGAGGTTTCCTCTATGGAGTGTCTGACGAGATAATTTTGGAAATCTGGATGTATATATGCGTGGCGTGTCGGGAGGCCGGAAATCAACGCAATTGTCTCGCCGGCTGTGGGTGTGGATGTGCCTGATGATGATGAAGGTGAATGTGAGCGTGGGTGTTGCTGGAGACCGAGTCCGTTGAGCTCGATGAGTCCATAGTTTGGCAAAGTATTGAGACAGATCAGGTGCCGTTTGAGGTCGGTCCAGTTGTGTTGGTATTGTAGATTATGGAGAATCTCGATAGACAGAGAATCAGAGGCTGATTTGGCCCCGGACGAGGCGATGAGCGATGACAACGCTGATGGCTCTGGGGGACTAGTAGTCATTTTTACTGTCGGTGGGATTGTTTCGTACTCAAGCCATGCTGAGCTTCTCGAGTCGACTTTACCGAATACTTTTCTCCTGAGCCAGAGCTTCTTGGTTGCCGTTGTTGTTCCTGTACATCAGATTCGTGGTTGCTGTTTTGAAAAAGTGGACTTTGGCATTACGTCTTGGCGTCGATTGAAGCAACGACATCCTTGCACCGCTACTTTTCTTTCCTTCTCTATCTTATTCAGCATACGCGGCAGTTCGGGGAAATGGACACATTAGCGTCATGGGCCACGCGAGGCTTTATCAAGTGTTTGCAGATCGACATATTTTGCAGTCGGAGACCGCCCGAGCCCTGTGGCGGACGATATCCACGGATGGCTTCCGCAAATCGTACACATCCCATTCCGCATGCTCATGTCAACCGCAAATCAATACTTGCTCCTTGTGTCTACTTCCGCCAGCCATGACTCGAAAAAGGAGTATGATAAGAAAGTGCAGGCCCGCTCCCATGCAGCACACAGGTCTCATGCAAGTGTCGCGCGGATTCGTCGGACTCACAGAAGCAGGAGACTGAAGTAGCCTTACGTCCGGCTGCAGCCCCTTCCAAATTGATAATGGCAATTCATCAACGGAAACCCAGACTCGACGTCACCTTGGCAGGTCCCGTCCTGGTTGCTGTTCAAAGTACCTGGTCGAGGACGTCGTTCGATAACGGCAATGACGAGCCGTTTGATAGCCTGTACCTGCCCTTCCACCTACGGTTTCTCCCTACTCCATACAGGCAAGCCTCAATCCAGGATTTCCCAGCTATAATGTTTTTGCTATCTTTAGCGTACCGCCACAAATGGCCACGACCGAAACCCCTTGTTGTTGGATCCCAGTGCGAATCGCGTTGCCAGAGCGTGTATGGGGGCAGCTATGGAATCCCCCATTGCTCTCCACGCTTTGGTTTACGCGATGCTCCGCACAATTCTCGTCGCTCGAAAAACACCGGGGCCTGAGAACATATTGGCACTCGAACACTATGCTCAGTGATCTTCAGTATCTCAAAAGGACGTGAAGGTCATTCAGGACGGAGCGATCGCACCGTCTGACAACCTCATCATTGGCATAGCAGCTCTCGCAGCTCACAGAGAACTATATGTCGAAGCCAGGCATCGTAGCAGACTCCTGAATTCATTCATCGCCATTCGCAAAAACACCAAAAATAGATATTTATAGTGTAGGGACATTAGAGCCCTTCTAAACTAAATCATGCACGCTTTATTACTCGTTGCTTCTCAACGAGGAGGCTTGCAAGGAGTTCAGCTGAACTGTCTAGCAGACGTCTTCGGGATGTACGTTCATGAGAACCTCAGAAACACCGCGGTCAGTGAAGAACGTCATGCTAGTGCAGTTTTAGCCAAGCCGAGTTGTGTCTGACCTAATATTCGGTGCCATGGTGTAGCGGTTAGCATGAGTCGTTGTTGGTGGATTCAAACAACGATCCGACTCGATCCACGAAAAACATCCAAAACACTTCGAAAGTATCTCAAAATGAGCGGAATCGACCGGGAGAGCAAACAACGAAGCTGTGGCGCCACCAGGAGTCGAACCTGGATCGAGTCGGATCGTTGTTTGAATCCAAACCCAACACACACACACACACACACACAACGACTCATGCTAACCGCTACACCCCCCCCCCCCCCCCCCCATGGCACCGAAATTAGGTCAGACACAACTGGAACCAATTGTGTGGCATAATTTTAGCCTCAGAGACCTATATGACAAACATATATTGGTGGGCCTGACGGCCTTGGCGTCCTTGCGGGATCTCTTGGAGGAGCTATCTATACAGCCCCAGAACTACTATATAGTTGAGCAACACACATCCCTCCCCCCCCCCAATACTCTATATGCGAACTGTGGTGGGTGCTCTCGACCCAATACGTGAGAGAAGGATAACAGCTCGCTGGCCTTCCGAAGCTTCTACAGGCAAGGATTCTGTCTAACATCAACCAACCCCTACTTTGTGTCAGCGCGGGCAAGTCAAGCTCAAATCCGGAGCATTTCTTGGTTGACGTGTGTTGCTTTGCACTGCTTGTCTTTTCCAAACCCATGGTGCATTGCCGCTGCCGGCCGAGTCTGCAGTAATTGGGATGCTGGTCGGGTTGCTTCGCCAGCGCCTCCTGAAGGACCGCCTGCCTGAGGGTCATGTCAGTGTGTGGTCACAGCACACAGACCCCTCTCACCTGCGATGTCATCTTGGGAACGATGGCAGCCAGATCCACAGCTTCTAGCCACTGACTTACCCACTGCCTAGCACACATCTTGCCAGCAGGATACCGTGCGAGAATGGCAGCATTTGGAGGAAAATGTGCTCTCAAAGTATGCTTGGTGAAAATATACTTGCAGCAGTTTGGGCGAGAGTGTTCGGATAGAGTGTGCCCTCATCTCTGCAAGAAGCAGTATGCAAGAGGCTAGATGCTGTGTCAAGACCGACGGGAGGGTAGGATATCAGTGGGGAGTTGGACAATTGACTATTTTTGATCCCCTATAACCCTGTGCCAGAAATGAAAAATCTGCAAGTATCGCATTAGACCTGACGACAACCCCAATAACATATTGAGGTCGTCTGATTTCGCTGCGCATCTCACACTCTCTGTACAATCACAGGCAATGATAAAATACACTGTGCAAACAGTATGTCTTGGGTCATCCGGTCTGACCGCGCAGACAATATAAACAGTATGTAACATCAAGGACCTTCAACCGTAACTCCTTGCTGAGAACCAGAAAATCAAAATGTGATATGGCAATCGCTTCACATGTGGTCATTGCCATGGCATCACCAATAGTACTCGGTACAAAGACTTATGTTGGTTTCTCAAGACGCAAACCTGCCCACAACGAGAGCATTCAAAACATGTCCTTGATTCCAACCTTGTTCGGAGAGCGTGCGCTTATCGTCGAGCATTTTGCCGAGATACGCGATTCGAATGCTTGCTTTGCTCGGGATCTAAGCTACAAGTCAGCACAGTCCATGTTTCCGCAATCCGCGTGGTGACAAACTTCAGTCTCATCTCGGATCCTCTGCGCCAGCACTCCCACTGTTTGACTTCTACCCAGGAGAACAATGACATCCGGCCCGCCACGATCGCTCAGTCTGCAGCGAACTTTGATGGCGTCTTTCTCGATGTTAGCCTTGCCCTTGGCCTCTTTTGTCTTTTCGGCGTCGTTGGACTGGTTCTGGGTCACTTGCTGCATACTCGGACCCTCCGCGGCCTCGAGTTTGACCGCGAGGGTGTCGCCTTCGGCTGGTCCCGTGACAGTCTGACTGTCCATATCGGCGATATCTTCAACCACGTCTGTCGGGTCCGAAATGACGGCCTCGGGCAGCTTGTATAGGTTTCCGTGCTCGTCGTAGGCTCCTTCCTCGATGCGACCCGTTGGCAGCGTCACGGCAAGTGCATCCAGGATGCCCTGCGCGTCTGCGACGTCGCCTTCGCGCAGACATTGGATGACCGTTTTGAGGCCATCCCAGATCTCACGCCTGCCTGTCACGCGGGTCTCGAAGAACTCGTATCTTTCCCTTTGTAATTGTGTGCGCGTCCATGTTCGGCCCTTGCTTGTCCACTGTTGCAATGGTTGGAGCGGGAGGTTGTAATGGTCTGCTAGTGATAGCTGGCGATGCTGTCGGGATCGGGTGTTATGGACGGATTGTCTTGGAGTCGAGAGCGCAGACCTTGACGTTTCGCTGTGGTGTAATGAGAGATGTGATGGGTGAGCGAAACTGCTGGGTTGGTTGTCGTGTGAAGCACCGGTGATGGCGGTCTGCGAGGTTATGGCTTGAGGAGAGTGTCGGACGGGTACAGGAGCGACGGCGCGCCCGTGTTGAGGACCATCGGACTCGTCAGGTCTGGATGAACAGCAACCCTGTGAGGTGGCGAAGTTAGACGTTGATCATGATACCAGTGACTGAGACAAGTATGGAAGGAAGACAAAGTCTCTACTGTGCATCTCCCTATGAAGTGCCGCCGGAGTCGTACGTACCATAGCTCATATCATATTACTCCCGAAAACACCCTCTGTTCAGATTCGTGTGCGGCGTGAGATGTCATAAGCACATGTCGCATGTGCAGTTCAGATACGATGGATAGCCAACTTTCAGGTGAATGGATGGCGCGAAAGGTAGGGCAAACGAGCGTGAACGACAGCCCGAGGCTGGACAGGCACAAATTGATGCCGTGGCGATTTTATTTAACAAAAGAAACAAGATGGTGTCTAGATTTGCCGCATCATATCTGGAATTGGAATGAGGATGTAGTATGGCGACAGAGTCACTAGGGTCATCGACGACGCTACTCGTTAAGTGGGTTTGTTGGATCCAGATCGCCAAAGACTTTGACTCGGCTAAGCTTTAGTTATGCATGTCCTTCCCGCCCACTTAAGGTGGTGCCACTGTCTCATCCGCCAAACTGCGTCAACACCTAACCAGGGCCGCGTAGGGCCTGTAGTTGGCATCCCCATAGGCATGTGTTTAGTTAGGAGGGTCGCCACAATTCCCCGAGTGATGAATGCCATCCCGTTGATCCGTTAGTGCATGACGAATCACTAGATCTAACCAAGGTTGATTTACCTGTTACCACACGGCATTCACAAAAGCCCTGGGAAGAAAGCATCATCATTCAGCGTACCCCGGCGAGCAAACGGCATGGGACTTTATACCGCTGACCTACAAGCTCTACAGCAGAAGTCCAATATCAGCAATTTATCCCCAACTCACGTACACAGCTATACAGTATACACGGATGCTGTTGCACCAGCATCGAAAATAGCCCGCTATCTGAATTCGATGGAAGGACATACGCCATTGCCCCAAACGCCTTGCTTGCCCTCGTGCTTCAGTTCAAGTTGCTGATATCTGTTTCTTGTTAGTTAGCACCAAAAGATGGCCGACATTGCCAGTAGCAGACTCACTTCTCGCTCTTGGAATGGAAGTAGATCCCACTCACACGCCCCTCGACTTGATTGAAACAAATGTAGTAAAAGCCTTCGAAGCTGGCTCCTTGGATGCTCTTCAACTTATAATCGGGTACCAAAAAATGCTCCTTCCACCGCATGAAAATGCAATCTTGCTGCCACCAGTTCTCGTGGTTCAAGGGGTATACAAAGTTGATGTTGCGCTTAGCTTGCAGGCTGAGCGGTCTCCAGGCCGGAAACCTCGCCCAATGGGTAAGATCGGTCTTGTCACTGGCGCCCCAGGCTGGATCTCGAGTCCTGAAACTGTATTTCTGGTCTGGTCCACCTATAATCTCTCCAGTGAAGAAAGTCGTCAAGGTCGGGTGGTCTGGAGTCAGGCCACATATTTGCAAATAGCCCGACATTGTTGATTGCTCAATATCGACTGTTAGAATGGTCACCTCGACGTTGTAAATCTGCCGATCTGACTGTTGAGTCCCTTTGAACTTGGAATATGGCTGAAATGTGGCTGACGGATATTGAGGAAGAAGTCGCCGGCGCGAGAAATCCCATTCTCTCAGGTCGCTTGACCAGTCCAGCTCCTGGTCTATCGAAGGAACTCCTGCTGTGCTTGTTGTGTTGTGGGATCTTCGTGTCCGATCTTGCTGCAACGACTCGGGTGGTGGTGATAGGGGAGCTGAGCCAATATTATTTCCTGCAGGCTTCGTATCATGAATCATGTCGTTCTCAGGCGAAACCGTCGTTGTATCACCATCCACAACGTCATTGTCCTCGGGGGCGTTTGCGTGATTCTCTTTGGACGTATCTCCGATCATCTTCACGGTTTCATCGCCTGATCTATCGACCTCAGCCCGGTCCACCTCCATCATTACATCAGGCCCTTCTGGATGCATCTTCTCTTCAAAGAATTCAGGGGCCGTATACATGCTCTCCTCTTGCATGAGCGACATTCCTGCGGCAGTATTGTCGCTCATAGGCCGCTGGCTGACCTCATCCTCGCCATCGTTGACAGGCCTTTGTTGGGTGAGTCTTTCCACTATTCCATGATCGCTGTTGTTCTCCGGAGGCGGCGTCAATGGCGCAGGGCATGCGACGCTGGTTTGGTCTAGATTGAGATGATGTGAGGTAATGGGTGTATTCGACGCATGTGATGGCATTGAAGAGTGCGGAAGAGCGGAATTATCATATGGATTGCGTCGCTGAGGTCAGACGAACGATAAGCTCGGCGTGAAGGTATTGGGTCTCTAGGGCAAGTGAAGGAATGGTGGTATGAGAAGGGAAATCTCAAACTTGTACGAAGTTTGGAGAGCACGAGATGCGGCAGAAGATAGTCGGAAACACGATGATGAGATGGTTAGCAGCCAGCGATAGTCGAGTGGAGTGAGCAATGATCAATTGCTGGGTGTGACCTGCAATGGCCCGCCTATGACCCAATTTCCCTGTAGCCCGCCAGCCCGGCTTCGGACCTCGATCAAGTTTTTGCGGGGTAACCAATGCCTAGAATCTCCGGGTCTGGACAACCGGCAAATCCCCTCCATCGTCCACCCTGCGGAGGTTGTGGCCTTTAATGTCACTTTGAAATCGCTGCTTCATACAACTTGTATCTGGAGGAATCCTTTCGCAGACACTGTTCACAATGAGAACTTCTTCAACCTCCAGAGATTTGACTTGTAGGCCTCATGACCACATCTGGAGCATCAACCCCCGTCAATTTCCATCGAC